GCCAGGACCCAGGAAGCGCGTAGCCCAGCCGTCAGGGACGAGAGGTATCACGTGATAAAGTGCATCAACTCCATGCTGACCAACCCGACGAGCGTGGACAGCGCATCGGCAACACAGCAGGGACGGAGAGTCTACACCGTGGAAGAACTCCTGCGTATTGGTCTCCGCACCCCCGTGTACAGAAGGCCTCAAAATTCTTCAGTGGTTAGCCGTGGCTTGTTGGCACTGCGCACTGCCAGAAGTGCTGCCAGCGTGTTCCTACAGAGGACCTTCATTGCGTTGGTGAGAATTATTGTCGAGCCAATCAGAAGTTTCGCGGCGACTTACTTCGAACGTTTCGCCAAACCGGCTGGAAACGGACTGTTCAGACCTTGGGAAAATCAAAGCGTGGCTAACTTACCATTTGTGGTAAAGCATCAAAAGGAGATGACTGAATTAAGTGGCTAATAAGTGCACGTAGATCAGTACAGAAACTGAGACACTGAGATTGTTTCTGAACGTCTCGCACTCATATGCACATCTTTTTGCACTGTGTTCAATAAATCGCAGAAGACGTCACAACTTTGACAGTTACGAACTTTGAAGGGATGAGGAGCAGGTGTTGCAAATGAAAAACTGCATGGTTCTTGTCAAGCTTCTCAAGCATGGTTCTTCTCAATTAAACCTCACAGCATCCGTTACAGAGAAAGGATAACTTCCTCTCTATAAACCATCCAACTCATGGATTTCTGCATAATTAGTTTTCAAGAGCAATGTCCAACTCACACACTTAATTGAATGACTTGAAATAACGGTTTTGTGAAGCAGATAATAAACCACAATTGACTAATTACAATTCACCCAAGTGTCATTGTTTTCATATACACACTCATTGTCATAACTGGAAACTCTAGAGCATCTAATCTGATGAGATCTGCTTTAGAAAGCATCACACTTATTAGAATTCACTGGTTAATAAATAAACATGCAGAGCAGGCAATTCTTTTTCTCTTATTTTTTTCTGCATTGTAGCAAGCAGTCAATGGTGCTCCCACCTTAAACAGATTGGAGGTTTGCTATCACAAGGCATGTAAAATTTTTCTCCATTCATTTTCCATTTCCTCACAGTATCCTTCACAAAAACATATTTGGCAGACAGTGAATTAAGAACCAAAGCCAACTTCTTTGAATGATTGGCCTCTTTTAATAAATTTTAAAAAATTCACTACAATTACAGCCCTACAACGCACCCAAATGGCAGGCAGATAGGGTGAGTATATCCAGCTGGTGCTTTGAGAGAAAGTTATCAATGGATTTCATTCAAATCAATGCATTCTAGTGCAACTAAAGTACAGCAGTCAAATTTGGGGGATTACCAAGAAGCCACGACAACCTCACCTACTCAGCACCCTAGCCACCATGGGCATGATGCTTGACCATTCCGATAGAAAAAACTGTAAGTGGACGAGTCGTATGCGATAGCCATAACAGGTTGTCACTCTCACACATTTGAGGAGCCTGCCCTAATTAAAAAGCGGCGTGGTAAATATATCTAGGTGTAGCTTGTAAGCAAAGAGACATGCATGACGGACCCATGTCGACGTCTTCGTTCCCCAAAGAAAGAAAACACAGGGAAACAAAGGGGGGATTTAAGCACAGAATATCACCCTGCTAATCAGCCTAGTTACTTGTCTAACATGGCGTCAAAGTAGATGAACAAGTATACCTTCTAGAAGTTTTTAGTGTGGCTTTACATGGGTGGGCCATCTAGACTTAGCCATTTGTATTGATAGTTCTGCAGCTCTTTTCATATGATTGTCGATTTGCTTTTGTGCAGGTAAAAAGCACAAAACTAGGGCAGGGGAACCACAATTTAACGAAATCACCGAGAACCTCGAATTCTTTCGTTAAATTGGAAATACAGGCATTGGAACTTAATTCTCATGTCAGAGCAACCTGCTCGACATCACCTTCAAGCACTAAGAACCAAAGACATCAGCGTTGCAACTCTGCCGACACTACAGTCATGCCAGAACTCTGCGCCTTCTTGCATCAAGTCAGAGACTCAACACATTCAGTCATGTAACGTATTCCTTCATCTATTCGTACACCCAAAATTCCACATGATTAGCTACATTTAACTTATTATATTGTTTGTTCACAGTTTGTTAATTTACCACTAGATTAAAACTGTTTTCGTTTTTCCACACACATTCCTCATCTCATTCTGTCTGCTTGCGTATCGACCTAACCTGCAGTCATATTTGTAGTCCTCAGCTTAGTGGACCATTCAGTGAGATGTTCACTTTTCTAATAGAAACATCTTGAACAGCGTCAGTCATGTGCTCACTTTATCCCCACCTTGTGGCCCACCCCAGGTGTGAAAGGTAACCAGCTCCAGCTTTTGCCAATTTCTAGCTTTTTGTGAATAAAAATTTCTCCCTTCTGAATTCGCAACGCTGAAGACCTTTATGAATGACCTGTACTCCAGTGCATATCACGCAGTTATGAATTGTTTGCGAGAAAAATATATCTGCCCAGGCAGCAGGAGTGATTGATACTCAGTCTACTTTGCAGTATATGTGATGGGCACATTCTAGAAGCTTCGAAGCTGGGAAACATAGTAGACAGTGCGTCATTAATCATAGCAGAGGAAGAACAATGGGACATTGTGCATGATTCCAGAAGGCTCTAGCAGCTGTAGGCTCAGTCTGCTATATGTGCTGCTACAGAATAACCTCTTCTTGCTTTGTAAACTGTGGCACGCTCCACGACAAAATGCACCATCTATAATAGCCCCACTAGCCAGTCTGGTCTCGTTAATACGCACTGAAACTCCCACCCAAGCAGAAGAGACAGCACAGCAAAGCATGCCGGTAAGCAAAGTAGTTGTGACTCAACAACACTGGAGGCTAAGAAAACAAAGAAACGCCAAACATGGAAGCAAGAGGTCAGCAAAATGGAGGAACAATCCGAATCGCCGTGATCAGAATTCGTCCACAACAACAGAAGGCAAACCACAGGATGACGAAGATGAAAATGACCACAGGGAACGAAGGGGAAAGAAATATTCACAGAACAGTAATTCCATACAAGACACATTCCTTCTTCGTGAGGACTCCACTAAAGAAAATTCTAGAGTCGAGGCCAAGGAGGAAAATCCAAGAACATTGCTTCGTCGAGAGGACTTTTTTGAAAGCAACTCCATAGTTATGCCCAATGAGGGGTTTGTCAAAGCTGATAACTGCAAGAAAGAAACAACGAAGTTTCATCTTCCGAACAATAATGACGTCAAACAAGCAGGTCTATTGAATAACCTGGATCGGCCACATGGCAAAAGCGACGCTGTTAAAGTACAAAATTGCAAACCCCGATCAGAAGCTTCCCTTGACAGTGATAGTTTCAGCGACGGTAAGAACTCAAAGTTCCCTCCGAGGCCCGAAGAACAAGTTGTCACTGTAGAAATGCAGCCTGGCGTCACATCAAGAAGCCTGTGTGAGAGCCAACAAGAGCCGAAACCTGCTTCACGTAGCCAAAATGTTGTTGATGGGAGCTCGCCGATTAGCACATTTCCTGAATCTCAGCTGCCAAACAATGAATGCCGCACTTGCTTGAATGAACTGGATCAAAGCAGAAGTGGTGCCTCCAGCAATGACGCACAGCTACGCAGTAGGTGGCACAAAAGCAGGCGAAATTCCAAGGACTCGTTCTTCAAGCGACAGAATCGCGGACGACGCAACATGGCTGAAAGCCACAAAACAAACGAGTCGTGCATCAGCTGTGACCTGCCACACAATCCGGATCAAAGCATATGTCCTCCTTGGCTTGAAGCCCTTGAAACAGCGCGATTTCGTCGCATCAATGGTCTTGATCAATTGAATGGTAGTTCTTCTGATATCTTACCAGTTAGTATTGAAGATTTTGAATGGCCAACCTTCCCCGGCGTTGGGTTTCCAAGAGCACGAAAATCAAGAGTACAAAGCAACAGCGTCAGTTCCACAATGCAAAGGCTCATGAATGCCATCTTCAGGCACATGAAGGCTTTCTCACGTCCTCGCAAATATATAGAAACTGTCACGATTCCTCACAGTCCTGCACTAGCGAAGTTAGACGGCAGCACTCACAAAGAGCAAGTTTTGTCTTGCAGAGTACGCCCGACCAGCACGGCAGGTGCGTTATTTCATTACGTACTGATTTCCTTTATAAGCGTTTGCTATTCGATTGCATGGAGACTGGGCTTGTGTGGTAAAAAGAAAGTGTGAAATCCAGCCCTGTCAAAATCTGTGCAATCCCCATGAACTACCAGCAGGTAGTGGCAATGCTGAATCTATTAAATTCATCTTTGTAAACAATACTTATTAGTATGTGACTTTATTTGATGACACACCTTTATTTTTCTTTTGTAGCGGACCTGAATAAAGTTTTTCCCATCCCATTCCATTGATGCTTCTTGTACTCTGTTTTAAGGCTGAGCCTGAAAGCATGAATAAATTAGAAACAACGTGCACTGCTTCATATTTTCCAAGTGCACAGTCACTTGAGCTACTGCATAGAATCCTGTGGCGGGTCATATAAGACCCATTTGAAATGTATTAGCCACCTACAAAAGTAGGCAATCAGGATCATTACATTCTCAAAAAGGATGAATAATACAAAACAACCGTTTAAACATTTGCGTATACTACTGCTGAACTCTGCTCACGCCTATAGTGTTGCTGATATAGTGCGCAAAATATTGAAACATGATGACTCATTCCCACTAAGCCCTTTTACGTTACCTGCGCACTGTACAAAAGGTGCAGAAAACAACTGCTTTAGTTTACCAGTTGCCTGAAATGCCTATAGTCGAAGGTTCATACATTTCAAGTGCTCTGATGTGTTCGAATACCATACAGAATGACACGAAAGAGGAGGATAATTTTTGTGTGGCCATGAAGCGCTTTATGTGCAGTTTTTTTAAGCGTGGTTAAAGCGTGGTTTGTCAGCTGGTTTTTTAAGCGTGGTTTGTCAGCTGCTACCTGTTTTATTGAATGATGGCATTTTTTTTAGTATCTGTATCCAAAATTTCTTTTCCCCTGTCACTATTGCAACCACTTGCGTAATTACTAGGCGTGTCATACAATTGGTCCCACTACTAGGCAGCTAAGCTAAGAACCAAACAAGTGTTTGCAAAGTTTTACATTGTGCACTTCAAAGTTACAATAAATAAACAAAAAAAAAAGAGTTCAGTGAAAGCATAAGCCCTTAATCTTCAACCACAGAAAAAAGAAGCAGTCTAACTGATGCCAGCAACTTGGACAGGCACGCACCGCAGCTAAATGAGGCAGAAAGAGTACACAAATCAAGTGTTACTCTATGTAAACATTCGAGTTAGACTAAACTAGCATAGCTAAAACTGGTGGTGCAGAGTAAAATCAGATTAGCACTTAGGACTGTAGGGGCTTCGAGAATAAAAGTGTAAAATCTGCCATAAAACAGAAGGAAGACGAAAATGTACCCGAAAAAAAACAGGACTGTCATAGCACTTCAGCGCGGCGGCTGCAAGACAACGATTCCTTGCTTTGCAAGAGTCTCTTGCTTGACTTGTTCCTTCAACATGGACATGAGCACACGGGGATCCTGGGGTGGCAACCTTGGGCAATGGCATTGCTTCCTGAGTTCAATAGCCTGCATCGTAGGAAACAAGTGCTAATTAGGACTGCAGAATTACAGCCACTGCTAACAGCAAATAAAGATAGTAATGCTACATCAGGCTACTATACTATTAGCATTTTAGGAATTTTAGAGGTGCGATCATAGAACTTGTTTCAAGGGTAGCATAACGTTGGACAAGGTGGACACGGCAGTTATCAAAGGGAGCGCACAATCCCTAGTTTTAGCAGAATACTAATAAAGGTACACTAGAGTGGAACAATGAATCAGTCCAGATTGATAAATTGTACTATGGGAACTTCAATGTAGTTAATTTCACCAGCATATATTCATTAATGGGACACTAAAGGCAACTATTACTTGACGTTTATTGTTGAAATAGCAGTCCGGAAACCTCGTAGTATTACTGTTGTGCCAAGGAAGGGCCTATTTTGAAATAAAATCACATTTTAGTAGTCCGCATCGGGTTAGCGTGCTTAGAATCACCCTCCTCAAGAAGCGGACAGACCAAACCGACTCACGTCACTGTTGCTGCGCACAACGTTGCCCGGCTTGACTGCACTAGTTGCAGCAGACCGAAAGCAGAAGGAGCCACAGCAGCAACAACGGCCAGTGATCAATTTCCTGCCATTAGTTCTGAGATTGCAGACGTTTCTTGGTTTAACTGCACCCCACTAGATAGCACCACCTGTCCAGGGTAACTACACGAAAATTGAATTTTTCAACCACTCGCGTTACTGCCCATAGTAACATCCGGCGGTTCTTTTTTCCATGAATCAAACAGAAATGAACAAGCAGCATTTTATTGCATCTCTTGATGCACGGAAGGGTCTTTATTTAGAGCAGCTAAATAGATTACTAGTGATTAATTTTAGGGGGTCCGTCTGTTGTCATCGCGATCATCTTGAGAATGTCCTACATTGGCGCATGTATTCTTGTGCATTTACCTTAATTTCAAGATAAGTCGGGCACTGTTGTTGGTAACATTGTCATTTTAGATATTGTCATACATTGAGCTTTCACTCTGACGTAAATTGTTATTTGACTTTGGTGTCCCTTTAATGCAGGAGAGAATCAAGTTCGAAGTTTCAACTTCAAATTTCATGCCAAAATCTCCAAGCATGGCGTCATGAATATCAAAGCACATTTTTTTTTCATATTTTGGCAACGTTAACTGCATGACATTTTCTAAAATTTGGTATGTTGAGCCTATAGCCCCCTCAAAGAATAACGCACTTCATTTTTACAGATTAAGTACTACGTAGAACCTAGTGGATGACGTAAAAAATTGTGACGTCACATTGTTTGGTGCAAGAATTTCTAAGTGGCTTTGCCACCCACATTTTTTTCTAGCACATTTTGTAGAGGAATGATTGGCAATTTTGAAAGTGTGAAGGTGTAATTTACTAACACGAGCAAAATCTTTTTTCTTTTCAAAGCCCCTTCAAAACTGCACCTTAAAAACACCTCAGGCCACAGCTATCACATCAAAACAGAAATGGCACCATCAAAGAGAAATCAGCTGAAACATAAGCACTGATCTATTTACATTCTGTATCATGATCTTCAACTGTTTGTTTCATTGTCTTTTTTTTTTCTAATGCACGGCCTACATTGAATGTGATCATGAATGCATGCATTAGCACGTGACGGCATCTTGCGGCGGCCACAGTAATCATGCAACCAGTCAGCCAACCACCATAGAAGTGGGTATATGGCACAGAAATTCGGGTATATGGCATCACTTGTAGAAAGAGCCAGCGATTTCAAGCCGGCTTTGAGAATTAAGTGTAAATTTTAGGCTGTATGCCATGCTATAATGCTAGGTTCAAGTGTTCTCAGGTTCAAGTGTTCTTTAATGACATCAAAGTTCTAAGAGCACAGTTCATCAGTCGAAATCAATTGACTGTTTCATTTCATTTTAGTGTCCCCTTAATACGTCGATGATAGGTGGTTGATTTAGAGAAAAAATGGTGCATTATGTTTCGTAACTGCCTCGTAGAGACATTGTCAATTATGACGGAGATAAGAAGAACATACACTGTTCATGAGGTTGTCCAGGTGCTCTGAACGGTGTTCGTGGCTAGGGTGAGTAGAAATGAATTCCACGTCATCCAAGGCATTTCCCATGAGCCTCATCTTTGTCCAGAATGCACTAGCTTCCCGCACATCAAAGCATGCCTGGAAATAAAAGAAAAAAGCAAACATGGCTGCACGCAGTTCCCCTGCAACCTTGTCAAAACCAAGCACAAATTCAACTAAATTGCGAATTACAGGAGAACAGCTCACCTTTGCGGCTAGCTGAAGACCAACTTCATCGGCCTCGAGCTCGAGCTTTCTGCTGTAAGGAAGCCTTAGCAGAAGCTATAAAGGCAGTAAGATTAGACGGTTAGAGATAACCCCTGCCCGAACTTATGTAGTGAGAGCTTGCTCTGGCGATACAAGAAAAATGTATCTCGTCCATAAACTTAGTATATGCATATAAACAAGTTAGCAGAGAAGTGTACGACATGCTAGCAACGACATCTATGCTGCAGAGTCTACAAAGGCATGAAAGCAATAATACTGCAGCACCGTGCACATTCTTCTGTAACAGCTTATGTAAAGCACTGGTAAGCGATGTAAGTGTTTACTTGTACTTTCATCAGTTTCCACCAAAGTGATGAAAATTTTTCTAGATCATTTTAGATAGACAAGATGCCACACGGTGCCACTACCCGCTCTGCTGTTGCTGTGCACAAATCCTGTAGCTCGTAATACGCAAACAATAGACATTTTACAAAAAATCCATAGCTTTAAAATCCTAAAAAATGTCAATAATGCATAAACGTACAACAAACAATGAAAAGCTAGCAAGTAATCACCCACAATAATGCGAAGTCATGCACAGCACAACTTAGCATAGTCCCATTCCTTCCCTTCTTTTTCAGAGTTATTGTATTGGTGCAGCGCACACGTAGAGTTCAGTAAGTTTGTTTACCAGTAACCATTCCTGTGGTTCAAAGGTCACGGTGCCTAACATCACGGGGATGGGAAGCGGACAGGCCCAACCCCACTGGAGATGCGAAACCCCTACCTGCTCTCATTGGTCACAAATTCATGGGATCCGTGCTGCCTTCTGTTGTTCAGGGGCTCTAGTTGATAAGTCGTGCATTGGGGCTAGATAGTGACGATTGCCTTGAAACGCCGTGGCCCGGCAACATAACCTCGTTCCTTGCCTTTTTTGTTGTTTTTTGTTGTTTTTAGTTACATAAACAGTCACTTTTTCATTCCCTTAATTGGGTTTTTGTGTTTCTGTGATTCTGGGAGCGTAGGTTCTATCCAAACTGCAGCGAACTGATTTTTCATCCTCTCCAATTCCTTTCCATTTATGTCATAATTACTACACGAGAGTTAAGATCTATCATCCCCTCTATTAAATGCCCTATGTCTTACTTCACTTCATTTTCTGTAGGTTTCCTTTTAAAGAACCTCTGATACCAAGTTTGGGAACTCTAGATGCTTGCATCATTTTAGAGTGCTGTATGCAGGGGCACTGTTGACCCATTATTAGTGACGAGCATTGCCTTTAATTAAAATATTTTAAATTGGTTTTAAAGTAAGGCTGCGAGCTCGCCCAAGCATTCAGGTGCAATCAACATTTTTTGTGGTTTGAGGTAGACAGGAGGCCCGCTCGCTCTGTTGGGCAGCTCTCAAGCTGGTTTTGGCGGCTTACGTCAGGAATGTTTTTCCTTTTTCTGAGGTAGACACGCTCAAAGCATCCACATCGTTTCATTCTTCACCACCCGCGAGTCCTTGTTTTAAATTAACGCATTCAGCGTAACCGAAGCTTGAACAAACGTAGTGTCAGGCGCTGCCTTGCTGTGGGGTGCTACTTTCTTATGGTATTTAGATGGGAGTTTCGAACTGATGCATAATCGTTCTGAATTAAGGATGCTAGCATAAATTATGCGATGTGTTGGAGCACCTCCTATTCAATTTCGGTGTTACCATAAATAAAGCTAAAAATCACTGTAAAAAAGTCGCAAACAAAGCTTTCCCAGTGGGAGTCCTTAAAGTGGTGTCTACTAAAAGAAACAAGCTTTCAGTGAAGCCCCCCTCTTTTGTTCTTATATTAAAAAAGGACATTCAAAGCTTCACTTAAAAAAAAAAGGAAGGCACTCTCTAAGAAGACAGAGTCTGAGCTCCGTCAGAAACTACTATGGCAGGACTGTGAAGCAAGATAACTAGAAAGGAAGAAACCCTGCTCTCACGGCCCCGTTTATCGTGATCCACATCTAGTGTTCTGGAGACAAATATGTCTGATACACAGTATGTCACAGGCAATTAAAAAACACCCCCATTAATTGCACTTGCATGTTGGTTCTACATAGTTCAGCCATATCATGAATTGTGGCGGTGGTTTGAAATCCTCTGCCATCAAATTACTGGATAAGCAGTTGCCATTTAACACCACATTTCATGTCCAGAGAACTAAGCCCGCGGATGCCAATTATGGCTGATTAAAGCCACTGGGGTTCCCTCAGAGCTACATGACTGAAAATGCATTTTTCCTCCTCATCAAGTGCAACTTCGTACGAACTACTAGTGCTAGGAGCCCGATTCATTTCACTTAATTAGCACCTCGCTTCGTGAAGAAAGGCTTCGACGAAAAAAAAATATATATATAGTAGGGTCGAACCTCTCCATAAGAGACAGTGATGTAACCGACAAATCAGTATAAGGGACACCAGTGTGCCTACACTGAGACAAGGGGATGATAAAAAAATGCACGCGTGGTACCTCGATTATAAGAGACACCTCATATAAAAGACAAGAATCGCGGCCTGGTGCATGTCCTTTTCCCAAAAGTTCAACTGCAGTATCTGAATGAGATCTCCCTAAATCTATGCCCTTCTGTACAAAAAAGTAATTACAAAGCAACTCACGCTGACAACCTTTTCGAAAAACCAGTGCGTTACAACAGCGATGCCATCAGTTGGCATGATGGCCCAAATAGCTGCCAGAAAGCCAACCAAGGCGAAATCGATGAGATGGGCATAGCTCACTTGCTCTGCCTGTGTGAAGAGAAAATTGAACATCCGTGTAAGTAATTAGAACTTCCTTTTTTGGCAGAAGATGCGAAATGAGCAAATTAGGGCACCAAACAGATTATGCGAGGCATACAATAACTGCAAGGAAATATTTCACGAAAAAATATTTGCACTGTTGCATCAAGTTATTAAGTTAGGTAACCATTTTGAAAAGGCATCTTGATAGCCGTCCACAAAGCACAGCACTCGGTGACAAAAAAAAAAAAAGACAAGCAAGCATCCAAAGTTCTGTCAACTTAAAGAAAACTCATTCCCTTTTGTAGTCATGTGAATGTAACAATCGGCTAGTTTCAGCCAAATGTGAACCCAAAAAGCTGATAGAAAGTTTTGCTACTGTGCCTAAGCATTTCACCTGGCATTCCGACAAAACAAGGCATTGACAAGTTGTGACGCAGCATGCAAAACAACTACTGTTGTAAAGAGGCAACATGCTCAAGCAGATGTGATGAAGAATGATTGTAGTGGTGTTATGAGCATCATACCGTCAAGGTGCATGGATAGGATCAATAAAAAATGGCTGGTGTTCGTCGGAGATGAATAAATTAGACAAAACACGAAAATTTTCATTTTCTGTATCATCTCACCCTGCCGAGTCCTTCAATTCTTCACAAGTTCTTTAGTTCTTTAAGTCTGCTAGTATACGCTAATGCAATACTTCTGTAATCTACAGAGAGCAATAATTTCTCCCAGTTAAATAAAATGCAAGTGAAAGAAATCAAGATTGCTGAATCAGACTTTCTACTTTAAACAAGTGTTAATGACGCATTTGCTCAGCTCTGTTACTATAACTTTTATATGACTACGTGTGAAATGATTGCTTACGGTACCTTTTTTTCTTTTGTGCATGCATGTAAAAATGTACTAATGTCAACACTATGACAAGGAACACGCGAGCACGTTGCAAACGGCTTCAAACTCGACGCAGAGCAATTCCCAATGGCCGCTGTCACAAACAAAATGGGAAAGGTGCAGCAGTCCCTCTAAATTTTGGCATACCCAACCAGCTATTGCTGATAAAGCTGCAGCTGATTGCGCATCAAGACCCGCTTGCGAGCACAAGCCAGGCATGCCGAGCGGAACGCGGCACTGCACTGTCGACAGCTCCGTGCAAAATACTTCTCATTTATTCACTTGTGCATGTGTGCATGTGTAACACATAAAATGAAGATACAGCAAAGATATGGTTTTAAGAAATGGCGCTGCTCTTTGTTGCACCAGATTTCTATAACAGGCGCTGCAACATCAAGCTGTTATTTGTGACATAATTCAAGCATCATAAAAAACAGCCACGTGATGGGAGTGGCAACAGTTCACAGAAAAGTGTCCCCCTTTCCCCATTATTTTTTTTAGAGCGCCATCGGTCATTGCAAGTATAGGTCCAAAGTGGAATTTGGGGTCATTCACCAGGTGCTCGTGTGTTCCGTCATGGTGCTCAGGATAGTACTTACACTGTTACAAATATTTTTTTCTAGCTGCATTGTACATCACTGGTGAATTCTCAATTCCATGGAGATTGAAAGTGCTTACAAGTGTAGAGGACTCCTCTAATAATAAATTACTGCCTTTAGTAGCATTCAATTACACTGTTGTGTTTAGATATCGGCATCTCGTAACTCTACATCTCGTAACATTATATAATGAGAAAAATAAACAAGACAGTGGTAATATATAACTAGCTATCTCTGCTATTGCTGTTACACGTACTACAAAAACATTAACCTTACTATGTTGCAAAAAAAAGTTTTTTTTTTTTTATGGATGCTTTCGAAAATTGCCTTATCCACACACACCTTTAAAGGTTAATAGGATTTAAATTCAAATAAAACTCAATTTCTGAAAAACGTGAGACTTAGTCTGATTTTATACACACACATACACAGGCACAAAAAAACATTTGGCAGATCCCACGCCTCCTGGGAATCAGTTTCACACAAAAGAGTCAGCAAGTACTTGTCTATGCTGCATTTTTATCTGTGAGCCAAGCATAACAGGGTGAATCGACCTGCTTGCGTATGTGCAGTAGTTGTGTTTAGAAAGAAACTTATGCTCCGACATAACATCATCCCTCACATTAGAGCACAGAAATCAGCATTGTCAAAATGAAGGGCACTTGACAGTGTGACGACGTGAGTATTTTATGCAACTTTCATTACCGTATTCCTTCGGAGCCAAGTGACACTTCAATATAGCTTGCTGAATAATAGGAATGCAAATCTAATGCCATAAAAGCAGAGCCAGCACTTGAAATGCATTTGACGTTAACTAGACATGACAACTGTATTCTAGGAGTGCATATATAATGTCTGTTGCTTTCTTATTAAATTAGATAGCCAGCCCAGCAATGAGATTTGAAGTTGCACCAACATTACAGCTGCATTGGGTATTTTTCCAAAGAAGTTTAAGGAGCTGTCACAGAATGCTTGAGTTTGATTCCTGCAGGGATCCTGATTTTTATTCTTTGCATTCGTCAGATCAGTGCTGCCAACGTCCGGTTTTCTAAACGCTTTTGCATTTAAATTACCAATGTCTGTTCGTGTACACCCTACTTTATTACACGCCACCACCAACAGCCCTATGCAAATGTGACGATACCTTTTATCGCCAGAAAAACAACCGGAAGTATGTTTCATGGCAGCTCGGCATGATACGAGTGTTGTCCAATTTAACCAGATTGCAGCCAGACATGACAAAACCAACAAGAGTTTGATGCCGTTAAACAATGCATACGATTGCCAGGATCAGAGGACACATCTTAACTACTTTTTACCGTATTTATAACAGTGAAAAAACTTAGTAAACCTGCTTCTGTTTTCTTTCTAAGAGGAGATTAAAAATTATCAGAGACAGTATTGTAAAATAAACACAAGTTCACAAACTGCTTAAAAGTACACATGCAAAGAGGAAGACCGTCCATGAAAGCATAGTTAGAAGTCTTTGTTCCTTACACCGTGCCCCAAGACACAGTGGGCCATTTCATGAGCAAGCACGTTTCCCAGCTGTTGGTCGTTTCCGCAGATCTCGAGCATGCCGGCAAACACAAAAATCTGTCCGTTCTGCAAAGGACAATGGACAATGCAGTTAACAATGCATTGAGTAAAGCAGTGAACCATCTTCTGCACTTTCAGGCAGTTGGTGAAATAAAGCAGCAGTTATATAAAACCAAGCTATTTTCATGCGATCTGTTATCAGGCACTTTTAGCAATAAAAATGTAGACGAAAACAGAGTCTATGATTCAATGTATGATTCTTTTTGAGGTAAATTAATAGGAGGATGTACCTCCTCTTGATTTATATCAAAACTCACTAAAATTTGGCCATTTCACAGCCAATTCTAAAAGTGCAAAGATCCATTTAGTATTGACACTGTGTTTATGATTGAAACAGATGTAGAAAACAGTCAAAGTGACTACTGTTGGTACACAGTATTATGGCACAATATATATTTTAAGAAATTTCTCCTACCCTCACAAGAAAGTTATGAATCTATGCCTGCATGCTATATAAATGCACACTGTGAAATCAATTTTCTACATTCTATTTATGCAACTATGTAAATGCCCTAAATCTGAGCATTACTAAGGAAAAAATTCGAGTTTGACAGTGATTCATTATGAGCTTTGGAAGGAGCAGCAATGAGGGTTAAAGCAGGACCACTGCGCTTCAGTCTGTGTGGTTCATTACAAACACAGCAGAAAAAACAAAGACAATCAAAAAGTTGATTCAGGCAGTCAGGACTAAGTGGTGGGTGTAATTGATGGCAGTTTGACAAGATGAGCCTTGACCCAAATGTGATGTATCGTTTGCTATCCTAAGTAACATCCACTGCTGCTTTACAATTAGGAGCCAAATGGATCTAATTTATTCCACAGATTCATATAATTTATTCCGCATTATTCTTGTTTCTTTGTGAACTTTAATACTGGGGCAGTACTCAACAGAAAATGAAGATGGTTGTACCAGAGGCGACAAAAAAGAGAGAGAGAGAAGTAAAGAATAAGGAAATAAAGACGGTGCTCACAGGCATCACAAAGGCATTCTTCATGGGACTGTCAATGACTGACACTGACCATGTGACATCGTGAATCTCAGGAATGTCTCGGTTCCCGTGCAGCAGCTGATTGGCCACTCGGACAACACGGTGATACACCGGGTGCATTGCCGGCAGAAGGTGGGGTTTGAAGGCCTCGTATTGCTGCAAAAGAAATCGTTGAGTTTTAAGTCTAAAATCCAAGCAGTGGGTTGTGAGAAATATTGTACAGCGTGCATCTACAGACAAACTTTGCTTGACTGGGATTTTTCAAAGGGCCAGTAAACAACCTCGCGGCCCACAATTTCTAATAGAGAAATAACTGCGCATTTGCACAATGTGAACATGCTGCCATAAGAACTATGCGAATAGGTGCTGCGATAAGGAAGATAGAGGGTTTAGAATGACCTGCTTTGCGTGGTTTCAGTTATTCGCTCATCCTTCCCACCTTTTTCTTGCAGCGAAAAGGCATGAGTACACCTTTCCAGCGACAATACCCACTTTGTCAACGCAACACTACATCAGCGATTACATCAACATCATTGGTGCAAAGTCAACCACTGAGCGAACCTTCCCCTCCCCCTCACACACATGTCATAGTGGTGTGGGTAGGAAACGTGGTGCGAGGAGTACGAGGCACTAGTGAGGTATGCATCTTTCCCCTAGCAGTAATGCTGCACGACACCACTTCATCTCTGAGATTTTTATTCTGGATATATCGTGTGCATTGTTAGTCTCAAGCTCCACAAAACGGCAAAGGGCAGCAGAGGGAAATAAAAATGAGGACCATGAAGCCGAAATTGCCTTACGGCGAGGCCAAGGCACCCTTTCGTAGTGCAAAGGACCATTCAACAAGCTCATTGGTGTGTAATATTGCCAATAGGCAGTGCTATAATATTCCCAAAATATGATTGCTGTATTAACGAGATTGTTTGGGGGGTGTAAAGAAAAAAGTGGGAACTTGTTCACTGGCCCTTTAATGTGCAAATAAATATATGTGCATGCACATTTTCATTTGACTAGCATTCATAGCTCACTAACTTTAATCTTGCTGGCAAATTTTTATAGCGTAACTTCTCATAATTGTTCAAATTTTACTTGCCAAAACCATACGACTACGAGAGATGTCGTAGAGGTGGGCTCTGAAAATTTCAATCCTTTCGAGTTCTTTACCGTGCACCTAAATCTAAGCACACGGGCCTTCAGCACATCGCCTTCATCAAAATTGGCCTGCCACAGCTGGGATTCAATACTGTGACCTCTGAGCCAGCAGTTGAAAACCATAACCATTACACCACAGCGGTGGGCCATAGTGCAATTGCTTACAAAGCTTCAACAAAACTGTTACTGCAGTGCACCAGTTCATTGTTCTATACAAATCCCTATGAAGGGACACATACTAATTCCATTCCATATTTTTATTGGTTCGATCTGTGCAATCCAACATTTTGAAATTCTTGACACGCAAGTCACATTGCATGGCAATGAACTACTGATGAAATTGCAAATGTGTGCTCTTCTAGCTGACAAAAGAAAAGCTTCAGCCCTGAAAAAGGCACCTGGATTCGTTTCGCAGTTTATTTGTTGTGAAATAAGTTGAGCCGAAATTCCGCACTGCTAGGAGGAGAAAATTAGCCACGGTTACGAGGCCACAATTCATGAAGCTCTCTTTCTGGCGTTGTGTCCCTCATAAACATAAAGTCATTGAGCAAAAACAAAAAAGTTGCATGGTGACCCCTCCCCCATCCCTAAGCTGTTAATTACAACTGCATATACAACCTGTTAAAAAGCCTCCTCTGCCATTATGACATGGAACCTAAGCAGACCTGATCAGATGACAATCGTGCTACAAGTGTGGTCATGTCAGACATGGTGACAAACACAAAGCAATGTGAATTCATCAATAAGTTGCATAATTATAATCATGCAATGCATTCTACTTAATTGGCTTGCATTTTGCCTCTCCATTAGTGACATATTGATCACACGCAATAAAGTAACTACAAACACTTACCATTTCGAACTCAAAGTCTGATATCTTCCTAAACTGGTCACGAGTAAAGGCAACAAAGCGACGTCTGTGTGTGATAGGCGTTTCTTGTATGTGGCTGAAGTAATAGATTCCCCCAATGCCCCACGCAACGCCGAAGTAGCCTGTAATTAGAAATTGCAGTGTTAGATGTTAATTGGAACTAACAGATTTGGAAGCCAAGGAAAGTATAAGGGATCTTATTTGTAGGTATTATGATGTAAATGTAAAGAAAGTAAACGGGACCAAAAGATGAAGGCGAATGTTTTATGTCATGGCTAAATAGGCCATTTTCATAATTGTGAAGGTTGCTTTCCTGCTATGCAGTTTGCCCGACTAATGGCAGCTAGTCACTCTCTGCAAACAGAATGTTCAGGCGCAGTTTACTTGGGTTCTGACATGGAAAATGTAGACTCATCTCCGATGATATAAACGCACATAGTAGGTGGGTCTCAGTATGTTCAACTAGGACCTCATCTCCATTTGAACCAGGACAAGCGCTGCCATTATTAGGGCAAATATGCAGCGCAAGGCAGTGCCCCTGCACCTTCAGCACTAGTGACGTAGCACTTTACGCGCCTTTCATACCCCCTGAATATGCGGCAAACCAGACACAACTGAGGCACAGAACAATCTCAAGAAGTGTCCTCACAAGTGATGATAATGGTGATGATGATAATGATTGATTCATATTTCGGTTTTAACATCTCAAAACCACCATATGATTATGAGAGATGCTAGAGTGAAGGGCTCCGGAAATTTCGACCACCTGGGGTTCTTTAACGTGCACCCAAATCTGAGCACAAGGGCCTACAGCATTTTCGCCTCCATCGAAAATGCAGCCGTTGCAGCTGAGATTCGATCCCGCGACCTGCGGGTCAGCAGCCGAGTAATACTAGACCACCACGGCGGGCCTGAAGATGATCCTATACAAGTAATGAAGAAGTTCCTGATAGATTCCCACAGTACTTAGAAATAAGATCCCCTATATTTTCCTCGGCTTTCTCATCTGTTAGTGCTAAATAAGGTTGTGTTTGATGAAGGAAAACGTATAAATATACTTCATCTTTAGTGCTAGAAGCTATGTTTTCCACTGTTTCTACTATCTACAGCAGGAAAACACCCCCCCCCCCCCCCATCCTCAAAAAAGCATAACACACGCCATAACATTAGGATACAATCATCAGTGCAGCATAGTTAATAGAACGTCGCAAGAAAGCGAGACACAAAACAAAGAGAAACACAGGGACAAGCTCTGGTCCTCTACATTCTGTGTCTTGTTTCCTTGTGCCGTTCTTAACTATGAAATCACACCAACTCGCCCAACTGTCAGTGTTACTGCAGCGTAGTTACCTTTATCGAACAGTTGGATATTTCATTTTTCGTTTTCATTTTATTTACACTCAAGGCCATGTGGCATTATAAAGAGGAGTGGTTACAAGTTTACTACGAATAAAACACAGCATGGAAATAGGTCAGTTAGCAAACAAAAACTTTTTATTACACAATATTAGCTGCGTAAGGACAACGGCCACAGTAAAATATGAACATAATACATAAAATACGTAACATAATACAATGTACCCTTTATAATTATACAAATTTAAATAATTCACAATAGAAAATATGGTTATTAGTAATAGTTACTATGTCACCGGGTCGATGGCTCCAATCTGCTGATGTCTGAGGTATGAATGATCGATAAAAACACTGGGAGTTGCATAATGTGATGCCAACCTTACGACGGTGGTCAATATGATGGGATATGTACTGAGGGTTGAGGATTAGTTGGTCGTGAAGGGCGGGATGATGGAATATTTTGTGAAAAGTGGCTGGGCGGGATATTTTGCGACATGATGCAAGTGAAGGGAGGCCTAGGTTGGTTATCATTAAAGTTATACTGGCAATGGGATTATAGTTGGACAGTATGAAACGAACGGAGTTATTCTGTACAAGTTCAAGTGAAGCGATCAAGTTATCATGGTAAATATCCCACACAGAAGAGGCATATTTGAGTTTGGATCTTACTGATGTTTTATATAGGAGCAATTTTAGTGCTGATGGTGCTTTTGAAAAGTTACGACGTATGTAGCCTAACAGGCGATTGGCATCATTAGTAATGTATTCGATGTGAGGTGCCCAAGATAGGTTCGTCGTGATAAGAACACCCAAGTATTTATACGAGTTGACCGGATCGAGCGGGATGTTGTTTAAGTAGTATATTAGTGGAGTGTTGGGTGATCTTGTTACGCGTATTACCTTACATTTGCCAATGTTTAAGTCCATTTGCCATGTGCTGCACCAGACTGATACGATGTTAAGATCAGATTGAAGGAAAGAAATCTCATTATCACTGGTTATTTCAGGAAAAATAACACAATTATCTGCGAAAAGACAAATGTTAGAAGAAAGGAAAGATGTAAGGTCGTTAATATAAATAAGAAACAGAAGTGGGCCAAGGACTGACCCTTGCGGTACTCCTGAGTGAACCCCAGCAGATGACGAAATGTGATTGTTAGCAGTAACGTATTGAACTCTGTTACATAAAAAACACTCAATCCACTTGGGTAAATTATTGTCAAGGTTGAGTAGGCTCAATTTGAATAGTAGTAGTTAGTGAGAGACTTTGCAGAAAGCCTTACTAAACTCTAAAAAAATACAGTTGGCGCATGATGATCAGTCTAAAATATTATGCAGTTTGTCAGTGAATGATACGAGTTGTGTCTCGCATGAAAAATGTTTGTGGAAGCCATGTTGAGCAGGTATATAGAAATAGTTAGATTCAAGAAAGTTAATGGTGTTGGTGAAAAATTATATGTTCTAACAGCTTATATGGAGCGCTTGTTAGAGAAATAGTGGGATAGTTATTAGGAGAGTGTTTATTACCCGATAAAAAAATTGGCACTACCTTCCCGATTTTCCATTGTGTAGGAATTGTTGGTGTGTCTAAGGATTGCTGAAAGATATTTGTTAGTATTGATGAACTGTAAGTAACGCTGCTTTCCAGAAATTTAGAACCAATATTGTCGTAGCCAGGAGAAGAGTGAATGGGCAAGCTACTTATCAGTTTAGCAATACCGTAAGGATCGATGGAAATTGGGGGCATGACGATATAGTTGGGGTTCTGCACATGAGGCAGGATGTCGTTATCAACTAAAGAAAAGTTGTTTTTGAAAGTGTCCTTAAAAAGATCGGCACACATGTTAGCAGGAACTGGATTGTCAAAATGATCTACTAGAGCTATGTTGTTATCTGGCAAAGGATTAATTAGGTGGCAAAATTTGCGCACATTGGTCGAGAGCGTTTCTGGCAGTGTACGAGAAAGAGAGTGCAACTTGGAGGTTTTCAAGGCCGCAATGTAAGCGTTGTGTGCAGTCTTGTAAATCGCCCAACGTTCTTGAGTGAATGCTAGTCTCGCAGATTTGTAACGTCATTTTTTATGGTTAGACAGTCGTCTGATGTAGGCGTTGTACCATAGTACCTTCTGGTTAGAGATGATGATACAGTTAGGAATGTATTTTTTGGTAAGTTGGTCTACTTTTACAGCAAAAAGATCCCAGTTCGCTTGTACACAGCGATCATCAAATTGAGGAAAAAATGAATCAATGAAATTAGGCAATTCAGCACTAATGGCATCGAAATCTCCTTTTTTGTAATCACATATTACTTTTTTCTCATTTGTTCGTTTGGAAGGTGGATTTAAGGGTGAAAAGCAAGTAGAGAATGATCGCTGATAGCAGGCAGATAAGTTATTTCGGAAGCTAAGGTGAGTGTGTTAATCAAAATTAGGTCAAGGATATTTGAAGCAGTAGTCGTTACTCTGGTAGGTTGGGTGACCAGTTGACACAGACCAAAAACCGAACAAATATCTATGAAATCCTTGGCGTGTGCTGAAAAGGGTGATAAGCATGGTGGATCAATAGTCCAATTTATGTTAGCTTGTTTCTATTATGCTTGTTATTATTATTATTAGTGTTATCGTTATATGCTTGTTTTCTATTAGTTCCCGATGAATCATACTGAATTTCCCAGACATGGGTGGTACAAGAAGGAAAGTGTAGTACAATGCTATGAACGGTTCACAACAGTGTGCTTTTGATTGATTGTCAACTCTGAGCTGTGCATCAAACGCGTAAGAGTCCGTGCATAAGTGTTGTCTCACAATCAAACGTAGGTGAACTCGCAACTTGCCTGCAATCTTCCATCTGTTCTTGACAGCAACAGAAATGAAATAAGCCTTCTTGTCTTCTGGCAATGCCTTCCACCATTTACGAAATCCTCTGAAAATATTCGTTGAATTTTACAGCAAAAAAAAGGGGGGGGGGGGGTACAACGGGCAATATATATATATATATATATATATATATATATATATATATATATATATATATATATATATATATATATATATATATATATATATATATATATATATTTATTTATTTATTTATTTATTTATGATGACAACCATGATAGGTACATAAATATACAATTTTAAAATGTTCTTGACATCTTAAGTCTTTTGCAACCGATATCAGTCGTTATTTTATTTCCAATGTACTAGCTGCTATACTGATAGTTCGACACAGTGAGCCCATAAAAGCCACTGCAGTGCAATAGACCTTACTCTGACAAAGGCGTTGCCACGGCTAAAACGTTAGTAAAGGCATTTTCCTTTTCAATGTGTGCTACCTTTAACTATTTCATTTCATATATACATATATATATGGAACGGCATGTAAAAATACCCTTAGTTCTGCTGCTACTTCATCATTGGCAACACTGTTATATGTATAGTACAAACCCCGCAATGCCACTTTAAAGAAGTGTTTAAAAGTCATGTTTGGAGGTTGCACGCGTAAAACGGTGAATACACGATACCCATTGAGGTTACTAGAGGCCAAAACTACTTATGAAACATGCTAGTACAGCGCGGAACATGGTAGCCTGACAAAACAAACTCACCTCCCAGTAATTATTGCCAGTCCTTTGGTGATTTGCTTCGCAGCAATGAGAAATATGGGATGGATACAGCGTCTCGGGGACGTGTGAAAGTTTGCCGCTCGAGTCATCTGCTGACGTTGCAACGACTGCCAACATATTGCGGCTTTCTTCGGTGGTCCCGAAGATGCAAGTCTCGCGGTACAGAGGAGTGTCCTAGCAGCCCACATGCTTTTTTGTTGCGGTCCACCGTAGGTGACGCAAGTCCACCGAAGAAGAGAGGTCGCAGAGTCACCACTGGGATTGGACGGTACGCGGCAATCGCCAAAAACACTTGCGGCCTTTCTAGAACGTGCGAAAATGTTCGCTAATCGCAGCGAAGACGGTGTGTGGTGGAAGTAAAGCTGCCAATACGAACTCGTTATGTACGAAACGTGCGACCACCATAAAAGCGTCTGCAACTGATGGGTGGATTGCTTTGGATTGACCTGGCTGTACTTGCACTTTTAATGTGGCCAACATGTTTACGATGTTCGCTAATAATAGCGTAAAGTAGTTTTCATTTGTGCGTCTATGATGCTATTGCATTATAATGCAGTTTTAGAAACCAGATCTCAAAAGCATAATTACATAGCCTTTGAGATCTGGTTTTGTGAACACGTGGAAGCGTTTTTTTTTTTAAGTTATTTCTTTAGCACTCTTTCAAGCACCTGCATTTGCTCCTTCTGTCTCTTTGTACAAAAAAGTGGCTTTCATAAATTGAAAGTGTTATTCAAATGAGGCAGTTATTGGCAATCTCAAAGGCTATGCTTCTGCACGCGGTATGCAACAACGAATTACTGAAGCACGTATTCCACTAACAGATGCCCCAAAGTTACAGAAAAAAAGTCTACAGGGCATGCTTTTATTCAATACGTGCATCATAACGCCAAAGTCCCTCCAAAAGCAGTGGTGGCCTTCACGAAAGCTGTGCACATTATCGGAGGCCATATTTGGGTGTTATACAATATTCTCAGAGGCAATGGAAGACCTAGGCAGCCAAAGACAAAAATACTGTTTGTATGGCGTTCTAACTTGTAATACTACTTTTAGCCGCATGACACATCGCGCGCTATTTAAAAGAACAATCCATACGAAGTATTTCTTTGAGGGGAATCGAAAAGTCCCAGTTTCTATTTAGGAGCGAAGCTCCTTCGGATCGCACAATGTCCGTCAGAGGTCCCCGTCGAGCGCCCACCTACACCGTACGTAGCTCGTTCATAGCGCACAACTGGTTAAAAAAAAAAAAAAAATAGACCTTACTCTGTTCGTTTGACCAACCACTGGCTTAAAGGATCAAGTGGAAACAGAATTTGTTCTTGGAGTATTTTCTTTTATTTCGATGTCACAAGTAAAGCTATATGTATATTCAACCGAACGTTGAATCGTAACCAGATCTAGCACGGCGTCTTTTAAGGATGACTTCGGATGAGTGGTGTTCCTACTGATGTAGGGTCATAAGCAGCACCATCTCTGCGGAGTTCACGCGTGAGGTGCACGGGACGACTTCATGCTCTCCCATTGTTGAGTACCAAGTACTCTAAGTCGGTAACCACTTTTAAATGCGCAGCGTACGATGTCACGCTTCGGCGTCGGCCTCTTTTGCCAATGCACGCATAATTGTTGTTTATTGTCGGTGATTTCACTCTGAGGCCTTGTTACCGCTGTCAGTGTTGTAAATTTGTGTACTAACGTACATTTGCGCTGATTCTGCGCGAGTTCGGATGCTTGCGCTTCTCTCAACTTTCGCTCCACCGCGATTTCCTTGCGAACACCCCCACCTCGGTGTGTCCTCGGCAAGAGCTGAAATTCTAAGCTTTCACTGAAGACCTTACATTTCATTTTTACGACTGTTTTGTCATGATACTTCCTGCAAGCGAGCTACGCTTTTTATTTATTTATTTACTTATTTATTTATTCAATACTCTGGGCCGTTTCAGACCTATACAGGAGAGGAAATTTTGAAGACGAAGTTGTGCCGTTTGCAAACATGGTTCTAACTTCTAACGCGATAGATTTATTCTTTGCGTCGAAACATCGTTGCTGGTTTACTGTCAATAAATAATATTGTTCTCCGAACGCACTCGTGAATTGTTTTTAGAGAGGCCAGCTGCCAATGTATGCCTTTCGGCACCGTGTAACCTTTGTACGCACAGGTACTGCATTCCTAAGGGCGCTTCGGCGTGCTGCTGGGCGTATCGACGCGCTTAAAAGAAGCGGGCGTAAGATTACGAGCAACGCCTCCTAGAAAAACTATGGCTGGAATGCGAGCACGCAATCTCTGAGGTCATGCCTCCTGTCCCGTAGTGCGACCGGAGCCCGCTATCTCTGAGGCCATGCCTCCTGTCACGTGTTGAGAGCGGCCACCGCGTGTGACCGCTCGCCTCCCTACCGCTCAGTCACGTGACAGAAAGAGAGAGATAGAGAGAAGAAACTTTCATTTGGTCCAGCAAAACGCGATAAAACGCGCGCCTGGCTAATCCTATGACGGCACCGGCAGGTCCAGCCTGCCGGCGCGATCACTGGCACTCTGGACGGCCAGGATTTGGTCTTGATAGGCGGGACTTGGCAGCAGTACGTCCCACTCTTCCTTGGTACATCACTGCTGTTCGGAGACAACTGTGAGAGTATTGCTGTATTTGCAGGTGGCGGCCGCCAGAGGTGTTCGCCTTCGTACCGAGGTAGAGTGCCTCGATGCGCGCGCCCCCGCATCAAGGCACCCTATACCGAGGGTAGGGCAGCACGTTCGCAGCACATGCTCCAGGCATAGCTTTTTTTTTTTCTAGGAGGCATTGTAACGAGACAACCGTTCCCCTTCGCGAGTCCCGGGCTCTTTCGTCCACTTCTGTTTTAAAAGGATAACCATAGAATAAAGAACCAGCCGAGCCACCCGCGTATGCGCATACACCCGATACGGTTAACGAAGGCAGTCATTTTTTTTTACCTAAAAAACAGAAAAAACAAAGACAAATGTTTTCCGCTTCCCTAGAGTAACTGTATGTGGTCCATACGCGACCGTGTTTACCATGTGCAGTTACTCTACGCTTCCCGTTTACGCAGCGCCTTCTGTTAGTTGTCCTTGGTAGTTGCATTGCACGCGCTACTGCTGCTTATGTTACGTACTGTTGGTAAGGGTACAGTGTCCCTTCTCTAGATCTTTATTCTATATATGGCTCAGTGTAATCTTTTGCGGGTGGAATAGTCCCGCCGCGGTGGTCTGGTGGCTAAGGTACTCGGCTGCTGACCTGCACGTCGCGGGACAGAAACACGGCTGCGGCGGCTGCATTTTCGATGGAGGCGAAAATTATGCAGGCCCGCGTTCTCAAATTTCGGTGCACGGTAACGAACCCCAGGTGCTCGAAATTTCCGCAGCCCTCCACTAAAGCGTTTCTCATAATCATACGATGGTTTTGAGATGTTAAACGCCACATATCAATCAACTGCCGGTGGAGTATATTTGTCAACGCGGCCCCAACATGTGTGAGGCTCACGGTACAGCTTTATGTTCTCCCATGGGCACCCGAGAGTGGACCAGGGGACGCGACGAAGCTTTTTGGACCGCACCAGAATTGTTGGTACCGACCACCAGGGATACCAAGAAAATGAAACTCTCGCTGCACACCTTGAGACGCTGAAGTGTCAATGCCCTTTTTGACACGTTTTGAAAACACCGTTCGGGGCAACCGCCACGCGCAGCACAGGCCAGCTTATTTCTCGATCGCCGCTACCAAGACTTGTCGCCGCCGGCACTATACTATGATGATGATGATAGTGGTGATCAACGCTCGCGAGCACGCCACCTATCGCTCATTGGTTGTCACCCCCGCAATATGGCTTCTGTGCCAGACACATGCGCCACGCGGCGCAAACAACTTTACAGGAGAGTGTCAGTATCCACACACACACACACACACACACACACACACACACACACACACACACACACACACACACACACACACACACACACACACACACACACACACACACACAAATTGGCACTTTTATGTGTACTCTGACCCTGCGACAACGATCGCCATAATTTCAATGCACGTCATCTTTAACACGTGTACCGGCTGCTTTCCGGTCATTAATAGCACTTGCTTTCTAAAAACACCTTTCCTTCGCGGTCCTGAATGGCTGTGGAAAGGCAGCATGGCGAAGCTATAGTCAGCGGTGAAGTTACGCGTCGGAGGCCTCTCTCTTTATAAAGGTTTTCAAAGCGAACCACTTGCTTGCCCTCCCCTCCCCTGACTGAAGCGAGCGTAGTTCTGGCCAATGATGAGAGAGCGATCGAGCGATTGACTTGTTCGATCCGTTATAAGATAGGGCTGTGGAATCGAACACCGTCATGATAAGAAAAGAAAGCAACGTCTACAACAAACCATTATAAGTGCAAATAAATAAGAGGGCGATTATTGTCGAAGCAGCAGAGAGCATACCCGCACAAAAAGTACGCCATTTATTAAAGAGTGTGTACAGCGCCTCTCTATAAAGCAAAGAGACGTATCGATTTAATCAGTGCGCATTATTATTATTCTTCGAGATAGTTTCCTAGGGCGTTGATACATCGCTTCCAATGCAATTCCCAAGCTACAAAGGCAGCGACCTCTCTCAAAGACTAACAGCCTTTTGACAGCGTCGCAACGGGTGACCTTTTTCGGTTTCTTGTTAGCTCTGGAAACTTGAGGACGTCTTCCGGGACTCGCGTCTCACCTGATGCAGCCCCGATGTGATCCCGCGGCCGAGTTCTTCAAGCTGCCGAAGCTAATAGGAAGGCTTGAAAGTTCCCTTCACGCAATTCCTGACACTAGTCCTGTCATCCAACTGTCTGTCACAGACTCCCTCAGAGATGTCTCGGCCTCTGACGTTCAGAGAGTCCATGCAGTTGGGAATCGCATTGGAAGTGGTGCATCGCCACTTTTAAATCTGTAAAGACGCCCGAGGAAACAGTCTTGAAGATTTCTCAATGTGTACTGATCAGATAGGTCTCATTAGTGCACGCACAGACCCTATGTCTGAGAGAAGGAGAAAGGAAAGAGAAACCGATCCTTAATGGCACTCAGTACGAGAAGAAGATATGTGAGAGAGTGACGGTCGCTGCAGCTCCTGCACCGCTGGACGGAGCGAGCGTGCATGTACATGGCCAGGTGCTACGTCAGCGTCGCGGTGCTGGACGGCAAAATCTACGCGCTGGGCGGCTACGACGGCGATCGGCGCACCAACACGGCCGAGCGATACGATCCAGCCACCAACACGTGGTCGCTCATCGCCGACATGAACGACCAGCGATCGGACGCCTGTGCCACGGTGCTCGGCTCAAAGGTGCGCGCTGAACGAGCCACACTGTCAGCCACACTGACAGCCGTGGCTCGTTTCTAGCAAGACAGTTAAGGCCATGGGTGAGCGCATGGGAAGGGGCACAGGTCCGCCCCCCTCCCCGCCTTAGTCACCTAAGAAGGGGCGGGGGAACATAATGCCAGTCCCGCACATGGGGGAGGGGTAGTGCGACGAGCCTATTTTAAAACGGGGTACGAGAAAATACACAGAAACACTTACACAAAAAAGGCGTTACACACGGACGAACACTGGACTGTGGTTTATTTGAAATCACATTACCGCACAAGACTTTTGACGCACGCGCAATGCCGTCACTTTTCACGACACCAGACTTCTAACGTACGACTTCTGCCACAAGCGCATTACGATCGCTTTAATTAATTAATTAATTAATTTACACGACACGTGAAAGATAAGAAGGCGCACTCTTTTGACGTCAGAAACAAGGACGTATCGCTGACACAATTATCTTTAAAAATCTGAGAAGCTTCAACAATCTTCCCCTCATATCTGGTTCAGCGCTCGTTCTTCCTTAACGCCGTCTTATTGTACACGTGTTTCTGTGTATTCGCCAATATTTCAATTTCGTGGCACAGCAACCTGCCCAGCAGCAAGGGCTTATGGTCTCAAAAAAATGAAGGATCCGTCCACAGCACCGCGGCGCACCTGTCACAGAACCATGTAAGTCAATCGTGCTAGCTAGTTGCCGGTCGAGCCGTAAGCACCTTTTCTAGGCTACTGTAAATGCAACGCACATTAACAGTCTAAGGGGCCCTGAAACACTTCTCACGCATGGTTAGAAAAATGATGCCGATCGGTAACCGAAGCTCCCTAGACCACGCGAGGCAATAATTGAAGAGCAGCATGAAGCCTGTAGTTTACAAGTAACGCTCAAGGTTAGCTAGGAATCGCTCCGTGTTCTCCCAACGGTTGATTCCATATACCCCAACTACTTCGCCATATACCCACGTTCACGGCCGTTCGCTAACTGGAGCATCATGAGCTGCATAGTTACCCTGGACGCCACGAGATGGCGCCACGTGCTCGTGGTCTTGCAGGCACGCGGCGTCATGGAAAGTGATGTGCCAGAACACACGCGTTCTCTCTCTCTCTCTTTTTAATCCTACAGGTGTACATCGTAGGCGGCTTCACCGGGCAGCAAGTGCTCAGCACGGTCGAGTTCTACGACCCCAAGGCGAACGTGTGGACCTACGTCCGGGCCATGACCACGCCTCGTAGCGGAGTCCGGGTCATCAACTACCAGGACACGATCTACGTGCTTGGCGGCTTCAACGGAAACAACAGGCTTGCCACCGGTACACCACGCTCACATTGGAACATTCCTCAGCATATACGCTGAACTTTGATTCTTGCGCACACTTGGAACCTTTGTTAGAATAAGCTTTCGGATATGAGGCTGTATTAAGCTCGATATACAGCCGCGTTCACGTTTGTGTTGAGCACGGGATAGGCCGGCCTCGCTTTATGGCGCGACATCTTGCGGTGGTTGCTGGCGATGACGTGGTTGGCCCGGGATCATGCGCGACCTAATAAACGCCACTAGAGCCTGCAACTACCGCACGTTGCGGCCCCATAGAGCAAAGCTGGCTGCTGGCGCGCTCTACGCACACATGGACACGACTGTACAAGTTAATGTCATTTGCGTAGAGTGAGCAATCTCGACGTTCAAAGCCACGAACTGCTGAAGACCTTACCTGTACAAGCAACGCATCCACCCTTTTCGACTGTCCAATGAAACGCTTTTGACTTAAGTACGAGCAGCGGCATGATGTTGACAGGAAATGCCAATAGTAAAGTCTTGATAAAATTACCGAGCGTGTAGCAGGTGGTATTGTACACGGTTTGCAGACAGGAAAAAAAAATCGTACTTGGTTGGTTAGAAGTTCATCACACCTGTGCTCCCTATGTTCCAGGGGAAAAGTACGACCTTCTGAGAGATCGCTGGATCGAGCTGCCCAATATGCACACGCCGAGGAGCAACTTCGCCATCGCCGTGCTAGACGACCTGCTCTTCGCCATTGGTGGATTCAACGGTCATTTTTGCTAAAACCTGTCTCTGCACTTGTTGCAGCGCTTCGGTTCGCTCTGATAAGTGGCAGTAATAAACACGAGACGCGAAAGTCTAGAGTGACGATCAGTCACTAGAAGGGATCATTAACCACATTAGGTGACATTGATAATCAGATAACGATAATTAGCCGCATCAGCAGCTGAAAACAAAACATTACCTTCTCGTTTCTATTCAGTGAACTCTACACTACAGCGTCCAAGCGTTTTAATAAAAGTTCGTATGCGCATGGCTATTGACGAATTTTTCTCTAGAAAAATTCGTCCACGGGCTCCACTTTGTTGATGCATATATATGAGTCGCTTAATGATAAATCAATTGCTTGCGAAGCTCGAATAAAGTTTGCATAACTCGAATAACCGAAGAAAAGGCACACAATTAGGACGTGGACCAGGATAATATTGGTAGCGCCATTTGTCGCTCACTTACGCTGTAAAGACGAAGAAAAGACCATTTTATGATGTATTTAGAATGATGTACTTCGCACTGGTACGTCTTAAATACCACTGCCATATATATGGCCGTGGCTGTCGAAGCAAGGAATCGAACCGGTGACCCCGTGCATGAGAGAATGAAGCAACAGACTCTAGTCCACGTCGGTTTCATCTATCTTTGATAACGAAGCAGTAAGAATTTCCGCGGAAACTGAAGCAAAAGCGTCAAAAACAGTATTGAGGATGTGTTCACGTGGGTGCACAGCAACGCCCGCCGACAACTTTTCTAGGCAGCGCTGTGGGAGCTACAAAACCGAAGCGCACGCCTGCGACCATGTTTATGTTAACTCGCAATTTTTTCAAATTTTCCCTTCATGAAGTATGTACTCTTTTATTATGAGGCTCGGACGATTTCGGGAAGTCGTAGGTAAAGTAGAGTTATTTTCGAGTTTGTCAAAATGCCTTCTCTTTCGTTTCATTTCGTAAAAAGCAGCACCATGGCAACACGCCCATTTTTTTCCAAATTACACGTGGCGTCTTCGACGTGAGTGGGTTAGTGTGCGATTAGAAACGCGTTGTTCAGTTTTCCCACAAAAATATACTCCCAATGTGACACTAAAGTGTAAACTGAACAATCAAAACGTCTCTCCCACACGCATTTTTCACGTTTGAGTTCAGAGCTCGTAATGCTCGAGCTAAAAACTCGGATACCTCAAAAACCCTCCGACTGATTGATTGATTGATTGATTGATTGATATGCAAAGTTTGACGTTCCAAAACTACCGTATGAGTACGAGAGACGCCGTAGTGGAGGACTCCGGAAATTTCGACCACCTGGTGTTCTTCAGCGTGCGCCCAAATCTGAACACACGGGCCTACAGAACATGTTCGCCTCCATTGAAAATTCAGCCGCTGCAGCCGAGATTCGATCCCGCGACCTGCGGGTGAGCCGCCGAGTACGTTAATCACTAGACCACCGCCGATGAGGCAAAAACCCTCCTTGCCTTTGATTATCGGCGGCGCCCATCTACGGAGACAGTCACCGCGCCGAGTCTGCAGCCCCGCCAGCCGAGTACAAGCAACGAAAGGGATGTTGTTGCCAGCTTTGCACGATGGTTCTAGCCCTGAAGTTGACATTCTTGCATGGTCTGTGACAGGGTTTGATTCGACTCTAATATGTTTACTTGCAGCTTTACACGGCTAGTGTCAAATTATTTTTTTTTTCTAAACGCCCTGTCGACACGAGTGAACAAAACCGATATCAGCGGGAAATTGCCGTAGTACTTTTGGGCGAATGAGCGGAATCCCCGTCTCCGTAGCCTTCGCTCAACTGTCACGATAAGTTGTCGCGCAGTGTAACTAGAAAACAGAAAGCGCTTTGTAGAGCTGGCTTTGCCACACTATGAGCTATTGTAAGGTGAAGCAAACTTACAAAACCATCATTTACTCATGTGATAGCTGGTTATAATTTCGCCACTGATTTGCATTGATTGATTGAATGATTGATTGATTGAATTGATTGATTGATTGACGACAATATGAACTATTGTAAGGTGAAGGAAACTTCTGAGACCATGAGTTACTGATGTGATAGCCTGTTCCGATTTCGCCAATGATTTACATTGATTGATTGATTGATTGATTGATTGATTGATTGATTGACAGGAACAACGGCCGTGCCGTTCGTGGAATGCTACGACTCCAAAACCAACGGCTGGCGAAGTGTCACGGACATGAACATTAACAGGAGCGCCCTGGGAGCCTGCGTGGCCGTTAACCTGCCAAATTTTAAGGAGTTCTCGGTTGTAGGTGAGATTCGAGATTACTCCGTAAACCGCGGGCGTCACTGATTACATTTTTGCGATCCTATCAAAAAATCGGTTAGCGCAAGTTTGCAGAACATTTTGTAGCTGGCGCAAAGCTAGCAACATGAAAAAGAGAGACATTCCCTGGAATTCGAGACATCTGAACGTGGCGCCATCTTTCGGCGGCAAGAACAGCAGTCTGGCATAACTGAATGGGAAATATAGAAGAAAAGTCGTATCTCTTAAAAAAAAAAGGTTAGGCACCAAAAACGACTCCGGGTTATATGTAGCAGAGACCCACTGGTACATTTTGGTGAAATTGCAGTATCGCAGTGCAAAACGTATGGCTTCCCAGGACGATTGAGCACCGCTCGTGGAAACACACGGGAACCCATTGTTAACTACCCTAGGATACCCTATTCTAGCCACTGTACCTAGGAAGCCAAGGGGTTTCTAGTGCGACACTGCAACTTTGCCAGACTGTACAAATATGTCTCTGCTACATAGAACAGGGCGTCGTTTTTAATAACTAGATTTTTTTCGGAAGATGAGATTTTTTGGCGCCTATTTCCCTTTCAGTTACAGGAGGCCGCCACTGTGGCCGATGAGAGATGGCGCTACGTGCAGACGCGCCCCACATAGAGTTTCCTAATATACATTAGAGGGAACTCTGGCGCTAGTGTCTATGGGAGCTGCAACGTACGGCGCTTCAGCGAGCATGGGAATGATGGGTAGTACAAACATTTGTCTAATCTTCGTACTTCTGGCCTGCTTCTGGCTCCGTGTGTGTTCGTGTGGCTTAGAGCTGTTTTTTTTTTCGCGAAAAATAAATTAGAAAATGTTCAGCGTTTGCACTTCATAACCTTATTCTTTTAGGCTTATCATTTCGAATCAAGTCACAAAGTTCAAAAGGGTTCGTTCTTTTCTTCAAAAAAAAAACAAAACAAGCGTAACCAGCAATAAAAAAGCCGCAAGTGCGATTCGCCCACCCGCAAGTACGAAGACTAGGCAAATGTGTGTACTACCCATCATTCCCATGGTCGCTGAACGATCGCAGCGCCAGAGTCCCCTCTAGTTAATTTCAGGAAACTCTATGGCGCCCCAATCCTGATAATGAGGAAACTACCGTAACACAGCCGCCTTTTCGTACTGTTCCTTCCGGCAAATTAGAAAAGCATGGCTCATGGTCCCGTAGCCTTGCCTGTTGCCAATATTTGTGTAGCCTCTAACCAAACAAGAGGTCGCAAAAGGCTTTACGTACTGTTTGCGTATACTAATGCGACTGAAGTACCAACGAAACTCAAAGTAGCATTTGATCTCTCGAGTAAAAGCAACTCAAGCGAATTTAATGTTCCTCAAGAAAAAGCACAACGGCGGAGAAACAGGGGAAAAACACTTGCTCTCCTTGTTCACTTCTTTTGTACGTTGTCCGCTGTCTCTTGAAACGAATGATCAACTAATTACCCAGCCATTCGTTTATATACTTAAGGCGCATAATGATGAACCATGCTTGCGAGATTTAGGACGCGGAATAGACACCCCAAGGAACATTTTAGATACAGCGCAAAGACGACGACGCCTCCGAGAGCGCGCGACACTTCACAGACACCACAAATGACGACTCTTTGTACCAGTTTCCACTACAAAATTGCAATGGATCCGGAATCATTCTACATTTTCACGACCCCGAAATGGAACGGGAATAGAATTTGATTTTTCTTTTTTCGAAAACAGAGCACATTTTCGTCGATATGCTGTTTTTTCAATATTCAAACATCAGTCATTCAGACCCCTCGACAATAGCAATAATTAACAATAAAGTTAATTAATAAAGTTATTAATAAAGTTAATAAAGTTAAATAATTAACAATAAATAATTAACAATAACAATAATTAACAATAACAATAATTAACAATAAAGCAGCAGTGTAATCGCCGTTCATGTTGCTGTGTGTTTGCGTATACACTCAAATCGCGGTAGATTTTATTTGCCATTCTTTTAAACGTACTATGCTGTATTGGTCGCTCTTGTATGATGCTATGCGTTGATTACTTTTTTCTCTCTTTTTCAGGTAACGCGGAGCGCGAAGTCTGAGCACAAGCAGCGTCGCCTCACTAGAGGGATCGCTCTTTTCACGAAGCAACTCCGCGTCTTCTGGGGAGGCTGAACTCGGCCGCTCTCGGACGCAGCTTCTCTTGATCCCACTATTGGATGGACGCCGCGTACACAAATTTTAGTAGACTTTTTTTCCAATTTTGACACCTAAGCGCTTTTCGCGCCAATTTCGCAAATTTTTTAATTCTGAGCGCACACCGAGGAAACAAACGCCGCAATACTTGGTGACAATATTTTTTTTTCAAATAACCAGTGGAATTAAATGAGTATATTGTTTCCTTCTGTCATTGAATGTCTTCTGGTGAAAAAGAAGCAAATGTGTGAGAGGCCAAAAATACCTGTATTTCAGGAATGCATTGCCATATACACTTCCTTTTAAGTGCGAGGCATCATCAAGTCTAATGTCGGCGTGTCATGTCGTCGTCATCCATCGTAAACGGGTTGGCGCCACAAAAAAATGGGTAACACCCACTACTTGGCAGCGGTTGATACTATGCATGTTGCGACTTCAAGGATCGTCGTTACTGCCTAAAACATATTTGACAAGTTTCCTACCTGAAAAACCAGGAGCACAAACGTACATATCCCTACGGCGAAGTCATCTACTTGTAACCCCACTTGTTG